AATTAATTCTCAAGAGGGGAGTTGTTTGAGTTACCATGCTATTATTTGTCAAAATGCAAACAGAAATAGACTGCTTTCCTTGTAGGTGATATATTTCTATTTCATCTCTCATCTTTCAATAAGTTTGTTTGTTCTCTGCTGTATTCCATAAAGAGCTAGGTGGCTCAAGCCTGAGTCATTGTGCTTGGAGACAAGATGTATAATAAAAATTTAGTTTTTATGCTGCATTGGGGTTTTATTCAGAAGTATTCTGGCTATTTCATTGGAAGTCCGACAATTGTTTTTTTGTTCCCCCCCCCCACACTGTGCTATCTGTAGTTCTAGTTCATGACTCTAGACTCTTCATCATTCAACACTTTTTTCTTGTGTTTCAAGTTACCAGAACCAGTCATTGTTTCTCTTATCCAACATCTCTATTTGCCACTCTATATGAATATCCAACCATCTCCATGTAGTAAATACTATTTCCCCTCACATATCCACGGAGAACCTTAGGGGGAAACAAAAAAAGGAACTAGAAAAGACAGGATTCTCATCAGGCTCAGTGTCTGATGTTTTTGAGTGTAAGAGTATTAAGCCCTTATTTGCTACAATTGTTTTGGCTTTCATGGAATCCCTTTACTAGTTACTGGTGAAACATTGTAATTGACCTGTCCTTTACTGTTGATTTTGTTGTTGTTGTTGCAACCTCCTATTTCCAAGTTCCTGCATATTTTCCTTCATTTGTGCCCTTCCATCTCATCCCCTCATTCTGCTTACAAGTCTCTGCAGCCAGCTCATGCCTGTCTTCAGTCCATTTCCACCCAGCAGCCTGTGTTCACGTACACCTTTAATCATGTTATTCCCCTACTGAAAACCTTCAGTGACATTGAGGATTAATCAAATCCTTCGCCCAGCCAAGGAGCCTTTTGTGACTGGACCCCCAGGCTGCTTCTGTAGCTTTCCACTGTGCTCCTCTCCAGCTGGGTGGGAAGACAGCTGATGAGGCTGAGCCAGCTCCTCCAAGGTGTGTTCCTTCTCTTCTTTATGCCTTCTCGGCTTAGGGGTAACTCTGGCCCTGGTGCTCTGACATGGCCCACATATCTTCAAGGCCTTAGGTTAAATGTCCCTTTCCCAAGGAAGCCTAATGTCCAGGGCTAGGTACGATCTTTTAACTCCCCATAGCACCTTGAATGCTGAAATTTCCTCTGAGACTGGCAGCCAAACTAGCCAGTCAAATCTTCTTGACAACAGTTGAACATAGTTGAAGTTGAATGCTTTTGTATTTGGGCATACATCTTCTGATGTCTTTATTATGCCCTCTTTTTCTCCTAGGTAGCTGGCTTTTTGCAGGGCTCTGTACAATTGTAATTAATAGATTACTTGTAAATTTTTTTTTACCTTCTTCTTTCTCTTGATAGGCAATGAGCCCTTTGTGGGTGGGATGCCCAGCTCAGTGCCTAGCCCATGGTAAGGCATTTGATAAATAATTCCTGGCCCTCTGGCACAAGATTTAAAGCATAGTCAGCACTCACTCAGTGTTTATTGAACTGAATGTAAACTCCCTGTTTGCCTTTCTATGATAGAAATTGACTTGTTTGGCCTTTCTGTCCCATTTTCTCTGCTCATTTTGCCATTTCTGGACTAGAGAAGCTGTCAGCTTGCTTGCTTGCTTGCTTTCTTTTCTTTCTTAGATTTTATTTATTTGACACAGAGCACAAGCAGGGAGAGCAGCAGGCAGAGGGAGAGGGGGAAGCAGACCTCCCACTGAGCAAGGACCCCTGATGCAGGGCTTGATCCCAGGATGCTGGGATCATGACCTGAGCCGAAGGCAGATGCTTAACCTACTGAACCACCCAGGCGCCCCAAAGCTGTCAGCTTTCTATTTTGTATTTGCTATCACATCTTATTTTGCATTTTATACTTTTGTTCACTTATTTACATACTAAATGTTTGAATACAGCTATGTTTTAGAGAGGTATCTAGATATTTTTCCTTCTTGACAAGAATGGAGCATTCTTGCAGACGTTAGACCCCCATATGTAAATATTGTTTTATCACTTAAAGAATGTAAAGAAAAACATTCGTGCCATCTGAAGTTTTCCCTCACAATTTTAATTAACTCCCTTGAGCCCAGTGTGGGTTACTAAGAATAAGGGCCAAAATCTTCACATCCCAGTCAAGGAACTTCTTGAAACAGACTGGTTGTCTGGGCATCTTGCCTTTATTCTTGCTCCAAAAAGATGCTGTGTGTAGTAGAGCGGGAGGAGGCGGGACCTTGGGTCTGTACTCTGTGGTGCCAAGGTGATGGAAAAGTGGAACCAAGACAAAAAAGTGTCGGGTAGACAATTAAGAGTCATTTTGCTATGTGGGGGTGGGGGATTATTGGTGATTTTTTTTTTTTTAACCCCCTACAAATTTCAGTCTGGAGAAAATGGTTGTAGGCAAGAGCCTATCAATTGTAGCTATAGTTACTTTGTAGTGAACCCTAATCAAACAACTTCTCTTGTGCTTTATAACGATCATGTGGGGAGAAAGCATAATGCCTGTGTGAGTGAGCATTGGGAGTCCTACTTACTCACATTTGGCTCGTTGCTTTTGCAGGACTTTTTCCTTTATAGTACTTAATAAAAATTGCAGTGATTATTGAATTATAGTTGATTATTACTGCTTGCTTTACTTGAAAGAGATTATCCATTAGTTAAAAATGAGTTGAAATACTACCATAGGAGTGATAACTTTAAAAAGTATATTCAGTATCCAACAAGAATTAATATATACTTTTTGTTTCAGCCATCTACTTTCATTTCTAGTTTTCTGTGTTTTGCCTTTTAATTCTTTGCCAGAAAAGTTCTTTTCGAATACTAATTTATAATATTTGAATCAAATATTCAAAATTTGTTTCATTTGCAAAACTGCCCCCAGGTGAAGAGGCATTATTAATGGCTTTTCTACCTAGTTATTGCTTCCCGGTATAAAGAGTTTTTCTGACTGAATCTCTGAGTGTCTGAAAAAACTGAACTGAGAAAGATTATTTGACCCAGAGGACCAACACAGGGCTCTAAGAAAATATGAAGGAAACACCAAATGGTGAACAGTCTGCCTTCTTGAACATAGAATTGGGATGGGGTAGAAAATGATTTTCTGGTTTTACACTCTGTCCATGCCTGGGTAACAATAAGCATGTATCTCTTTTATAAATAAAAATTTAGTCATCACTAGCACTTCACACCGATTAAGATGGCTACTCTAAAAAAAAAAAAAAAACGGATAACATAAGTGTTGGTGAGGATGTGGAAGCCTTGTGCATGTCGATGGGAATACACAACAGCACAGCTCCTGTGGAAAAGGTGTGGCAGTTCCTGAAAAAGATTAAAAATAGAATTATCATTGACCCAGGGGGAGGCAAACTTATTTCTCCCTGTTCACACAGTACTTCTGTACTCTAAATATGTGGGTTTTTCCATACCCAGCAAGTCTCCAGTTCTCTGCAGAGACCGAGTATCCTACAGTTTAACCGAATTTTGGCCCTACCTCAAGTTAGTGAAGATGCTTCCGATTAAGGGCTCACTCCCACAAGACTGTGCCCACTGCCTCGGATGCATCACGAGTCCAGGTTGTCACCTGTGCTTTTGGCTGTAAATTGGGGGTTTGATATCTTGGGTTTGATGATTTTCTAGAACACCTCGTAGAACTCAGGGATACTGTTTACTTCTGCCATTTTATGACAAAAGATATTTTAATGGAAATAAACGAACAGCCAGATGAAGAGATATATAGGGCAAGGTATAGGGGAAGGGGCTTGGAGCTTCCATGTCCCCTCTGGACGTGTTACCCTCCTAGTGCCTCCACGTTTTCTCCAACCTGGAAGCTCTCTGATACTTCGGGTATTTTATAGATTTTCGTTGTGTAAGAATGATTGACTGACTCATTGGCCATTGGTGATTGAACTCAATCTCCAGCCCCTTCCTCCTCCTGGAAGGGGCGTGGGGGTGGGGCTGAAAGTTCCAGTCTCCTAGTCACACATTTCCCCTGGCAACCAGCCCCCATCCTGAGGCTGTCCTGGAGCTCCCAGCCTTGTTATCTCATTAGTATATCAAATGGCATTTATTTTGGAGATTCCAACGGTATTAGGAGCTTTGTGCCAGGAAACGGGTCGGAGACCAAATGCATTATTTCTTATCATGTCACACCCTGGACTTGCGATTGGCATCTGAGGCAGTGGGCACAGTCTTGTGGGAGTGAGCCCTTAATCTGAAGCATCTTCATTAACTTGAGGTAGTGCCAAGATTTGGTTAAACTGTAGGATACTCGGTCTCTGCAGAGAACTGGAGACTTGTTGGGTATGGAAAAACCCACATATTTAGAGTACAGAAGTATTGTGTGAATAGGGAGAAATTCCACTTCTGGCTATATCCCTAAAAGAATTGAAAGCCAGGTCTTGAGATATTTGTACACCTAGGTTAATAACAGCATTGTTTAGAATAGCCAAAACGCAGAAGCAACTGAGGTGTCCATGGACAAACGAGTGGGTAAGCAAAATGCAGTGCATGTGTACTCAGCCTTCAAAAGGAAGGAAATTCTGACACATAGTACAACATGGATGAAAATGGAGGATATTATGATAAGTGAAACAAGCAAGTTACAAAAAGAAAAAATATGGTATGATTCCACTTATAAGAGTTACCTAGGAGTAATCCAATTCACAGAGACAGAAGGTAGAAGGGGAGCACGTCAGAGGCTGGGCAGGAAGGAAATGGGGCATGGTTTCATGGGTACAGCATTTTCGTTTTACAAGATGAAGAGTTCTGGGGATTGGTCGCCCGATAACGCGAACATACTCAACACAGTTGCCCTGCACAGCTAAAAATGGTTAAGGTGCTACATTGTTTGCTATGCATCTTTTGTCGCAGTTAAAAACTCACCCCCTCTTCCTCCCCACAATAAAACATTCAAAGGTGGAAAAGCAGGGTTGTTTTCCCAGCCCCAGGCTCACAGGCCGCATCCCTGGTGTCTTTCAGGCCTGGCGCTGCTCTGACCATGCAGGCGTTCTCCGAGGATGAGCGGAAGCAGTGGTTGGAAGCCCTGGGCGGAAAAGAAGCTGTAAGAATCCTCACCGGTCGAGTCGTATTCACATCCTTCAGTGTTGACTTGTATTCCTTTTTATGGGATTTTTGCTTTATGGTATTTGGCGGGGAAGAAAAAGGTTCTCTGCCGACGCTGGTGTTTTGATTCCTCTGGGAAGCGTCCCGCTTTCCAGTAATTTGGCAGAAGCTAGCAGCCGCACACAGAAGACCCGTGTGTCCTTAGTTTTGATTTTTGATTTTTCTTGACTTTGCCACTCAGGTTTGCTGTGCTTGAGGAAGTCATCGAAACGCTCAGTTTTTTTTTTTTTTTTCTTTCCTACCTGACAGTTCTTTGGGTGATGAACACAATAAATGCTTGCAGTTCATGTTGATCTCAGTGGAGACAGAACAGTAAATACGAGGCCGTGCAAGCAGTATTATAAACAACTGCTTATATTATATATTATAAATATTAGATATTTTGCTTGATTTAGCAATTTATGGGTCAGGCTAATGGTTTATGGTATGCAGTATCAGGTAGCCCTAGTAAATGGGCCTCTGTATGATGGGTATGAGGAATAAATTAAAGGGAGTGGTAGAGATCCAGAGGCACATCAACTCAGTCTGCTTGCGACTTGATTCAAGCACTGCTTTCATCTTAGTGGGCTGGTGGCCTTCGGGGGGAATTGAGAATTTGGCAGATTGTGTATTGAATTGGGGACTTAGGGTAATTATAGAAAACACCATAGAACCAATTTAAATAAACTCTGCTGAAAGTATTACGACTCTAAGTAAACTGCCAGTAGAGGTAGCAGGGGGGCTTAACTGGAAAGCATTTGCCATCTTAGCAGGGTTTAAAAAAAGGGAAAGAGAGTGGCTTGCAACTTGAAAGAGGGGTCATACGTAGTAGTAGGAGAGGTGTCCGAATAGAGTTGTGAAACTGGCAAAGGATGATGTTATCTGATGGTCACAGAGAGCACACTGGTGGAATTATAGGATATGGGGGCCGGGGAGATGGGCCATGGTGTGTGTGGCAGTCTGGTTCAGTATTTGAAAAACGAAAACCCCAAGAACACATGTTAAAAATAGATGCTGTAGAGGAGAATATATCACGCTTGGGAAAACAAAAAAGTAGTAATCAAAGTTATCTGTTATTTTGTTGTATTTGACCGACATTTAGCCTTCATAGTTTTATTTCTGTCTATTCTTAATTTGTCCTTGAAATTTTTAGCTGGGAATCAAGAGTATTTACAGCATTTATGGTTACTGAGATCCAAAACACATTATACTAATCCTCTCTAGTAAAAGCAATGCAGTGACTAGGACTTCTCTCCCCAGAGATTTAAGAAGTGCTTTGGAAAGTGAGTTTGCGTAGCAAAAAGGTCACATGACTAAGTCTTTGAGAAATAAATCTGTTGTCAAAGGCAGTGTAACCTTGAAGACATATATAACCTCTCCTTTAGAACAAGAAACCAAGTAATTAATTTGAGATACACAGACAAAGGCAAATCTGCAGAAAGAAAATGTTTAGATATGTATTTATGTGAGGACACTTAAGGACATGTATTTTTTTTTCAGGTGCTATATATGCCTTGCAAATAATGGGTCAGTGCTGAAGTTCTTAGAAGCAGCCTGGAATTATCACCTAGCTATTTCAGATGTAGTTATTTAAATTATGAGCAGGAGTTCTCTCTTTTTTAAGAAAATACCAGATTTTAGAAATAGTGGTAAAAAAAATGAGCTTCATCTTATTGCTTAGAATGCAGCAATTTCTTTGTCATTCGATACCTATAAGGCTGAGCATTTCAAATTTATATAAACTTCCAATGAGTTCCTAAAGAATCATAGCTCCTTCATCTTATTTTTACTACTGTGGCATACCTCTCTGTAAGAGAGTAGACTCAGAGATGCCCCTTATTGTTCCTTATCTTAGTATTTGAGCACATTAGTATATAATTAACCAATATCAATGTATTTTTTTGCATAGTCCTAGGCATGCCTACTTGAATCCTTTATATTGATGTGTTAAAAATACTGTTTTCCCTTTTTTTCTTTTACTAGCTGTTACATAGTTTTAATAGAGCCATCATCCCAAGACCAGAAGGAAGTAAGTGTTAATTCATAAAAAGGACTGTTTGTTCCCCTTTTTCATGAGTTTGTTTTCATTACTGATGTCAAAGTGTTGCTGAGTGCTCTGTACTCTCTCTAACTAGTCCTCCAAATAATACATGTATTCTCTTTTACTTACTGGGGACCAACTCAGATTTTCCTGGACTACTGTAATCCTCATTGATCTTTTCCATCTCTGGGCTTTTTTTTTTGGTCTTTCTCTATAATTACTTTCTCTACAAAACCCAAAATGCTTCCTCCACAGTTTACTTTGATATTTATTCTCATAGCCATAAATAAACACATAAGACTTTCAGGGATGCATCTTTCAGCTTCCTAAATTGTAAGCTCCTGTGGGAGCTCTACCAGGTCCCCTGTTTGCAACCCCCTCACCATGACCCTTGATATTTTTTTATCCTTAAAGTCTGAGTATGGACTATATGAGTAGTAAATCATTGCACTTTAGAAAATAACAATCAAACATATTCAGGTATTCTAGGACATCGATCTTCACGTGCATTGTATGCATTTGAGGAACATAAAGCCTAGCTCTAATCTTGATTTTTACTGAGATAAAACAAAAATGTGATCAGAGTTGTTGGATTCTTTGTAAGTTTACTTTTGATATCTTTGGAGAAATTAAGGCTACATTTATCAAATGTGTACAGTTTGGAAACTTTATATTCTCTAACACACAGTTTCAAAATTATCATGATGTGTGTTTCATTTGAGCTAGTGCTTGAGTAAAAGACATTTCTAGCCTGCCACTGAGAATTGCCGGTTGTAAACCTACTTGAAGTGCCTTCTTACCCTCTTCCTGTCCCTCCCTCCTCATCCTCTTCCCTTCCTTCCTGTCTTTCTCCTCCTCTTTCCTCCTCCCACTCCTTTTCTCCTTCTGCCCTTCCAAAGGTTCTTATTTTTTATGGAGAAATAAAAACATGCTACTTTTTTTGAAAAATAGTTTTGCTAAAAATTTTATAAAATTTTGTGAATAGTGGATCCTTAAACAGTAAACCACTGCCTTATTTTCCTCCTTAACATTCTCTTCAAGCTTAGCATTAAACCTGCAGTTTATATTTATGGATTGTTCATGCTGTCTGCTCTGAGAGACTAGTGTTAATATTAGTGTTCCCTCGTTCTAAATACAGACTCAAGTATTCGCTTCCCCTGATTTCATTTTTGAAACAAGAATCGTCTTTTATTAGGACATTCAAATGTGTCAGCCTAATCACAGGCAAGCATCTATATTAGAAAAAAAAAAAGAGGAAATTTTTGAAATAATCTTTTCTGCTACATGAATCACTTGTTTTAAATTCATTATGAAAATAATAGAATATTAAACACTTAGAGCATGGTATGAAATGTGAGATTATTTTTCAAGCTCATGGCCCATATAATACTTTTTTTCCCCAAATAATACTTTTAGAAGTGTTTAAAAAATTTTTTTAAAGATTTTATTTATTCGAGGGAGAGAGAGCATGACCCTGAGGTGGGGAGGGGCAGAGGGAGAAGCAGGTTCCCTCGTAGGGATCCACCCCGGGACCCTGAGATCTTGACCTGAAATAGCCACTTCACCAACTGAGCCACCCAGGTCTCCCTAACATTTTTTTTCTTTAGGTTAAAAAAAAAAAAGTTTGTGTTATTTCTCTGTCAAGTAATTTACTTCACTCATATATAACTAAAAAAAAAAAAAAATCCTGAGGTGGTGGTAGAATTTTGGCAAAATGTATCTTAACCATCTTTAGATAGATTCCCCCTAAAGATTTGTATCATGTTCTTTTCCACTGTTTAAAATAAGTTACATTTATTAATATAAAAATTACTTTATATTATAAATTTATAAATTATTGGTAACAGATGTCCTAATATTCCAGTAAGTGCTTCTCTAAATATATGAAATTCTCATTTACATTATTTAAACAGGGAACACATGGCCTTTAGCTTTCTTTTAATAGCGAAATGAAAATTAAATTGGATTTAAGTAATTTTTTCTATTTTTGTAAAGAAGAGAAATGTAAATAATTCATTGTGCCCTTAATATTTTATAACTGTATTTCTTTTAGGTGCACAGTTGGATAAGATGGGATTCACAATTCTCAGAAAATGTATCAGTGCAGTTGAAACACGAGGTAACATGATTGAATCATTTTATTCCTGAAAGGCTATAGGTATGTAAAATCTAAGAGTCATTTAAAATGCCTGTTGCATGGGTGAGTGTTGTAGAATGGAATACTTCAATGCAAAATGTACGTTCTGGGTGTCAGAGATTGAGTTGCTCATTTACCATGACAGGGTGGGATTTTCCTTTCTGTTTACATTAATATTTCTACCTCCCGCCACCCCCGCCCCGCATTGAGATTGAAGTCAGAGCTGAAATGAGAAGCATTCGAAGAATCAGCAGTGTTGGACAGCCAATCTGAATCACGTTTTGTACGCTATTAAGATATTCTCACCTTCCATCGTCTTGTTGGCCTCCCTTTAAAAAGTCCATTTCATCGAGGTGTCATTTACATAAAAAGAATTCACTGACTTTGTAGAAATTGGTGAGTTTTGACAAATGTACTGTTGTGTAACTGCCATAACATAGAAGTAACAATCACAGAAGATTTCTAGCTTTCCTCCCCCCATTCCTTTGTGCCCCGTTGCAGTCAGTCCCCACTCCCTCCTTGGCCCTTGGCAACCACTGAGGTGCTTTCTGTCACTTTAGTTCTTTCTTTTTTAAAAAGTATTTCATATAAATGGAATCATGAACTATAGTCTTTTGAGTCTGGCTTCTTTATGTAGCATAATGCTTTTGAGATTCGTCTCATTGGGTGTATCCCTAGCTCCTTTCTTTTTATTGCTAGGCATGATTTCATTACATGGATGTTTATTCATTTACCTATTGATAAATATTTGGATTGTTTCCATTTTAAATTTAAGGAAAGCTAAAATTCAAATTTTATAATAATAATAATTATTATTATTCAGGTGACCGAAAGCTTTCTCTTTATAGTCCCTAGAAAAACAGGGCCCTTCCACTTTGCAGCCATGGCAGCAGACTTCGGAGAAACGAAATATTGAACATTACAAAATGGGCTCCTCTTGGAGGTCGAGTTTCTCTTTGTTTAGAGGCCTAGTGAAATATGGATAAATGGATATTTAATTCACTCTCATATATTGCATACCCCGGTCCCGCTTTGGATGCCTTTGTGGATGAAGCATTGCGTTCATACTTTCTGTCAAAACAAGGTCTTTGTTGGTGGAGCCAGGTGCCTGCCATGGCTGAAATGAGAGTGTCAGATGACAGAAGACCGGCCGTTTTATGACTTGGGGATTTGCCCATTGATAGTAAAACCCAAACCACAGAAAGCCTTTTCTCCTCCGCTCTCTTCCCCTGGCAATTTGGGCTGGAACAGATTTTCCTCCGTCTTAGCCTGCCCTCAAGTTGAGCTGACAAATTTCTTCATTTTCCTAGAGCTTCACACATTTCCAAAATTTAGAAAAAATACTGTGATTTTCATATCTCTCACTTCATCATTCATGGTTCTGTTTCTCCCAAGCTTCTGAAGTGAAGCGCCTTAATTGTACCACTTGTGTGCTTATTATTTTGATAAATTGTTCTTTCCCCAAAGAATATGTTTTATACATACTTGCTTCTGACTGAACAGATTAAAATCTATCTAGAATGCTTTCTGATTGGTAGGTGTAGCTTTACGGGGTGTTACATACATTGAATGGAATATATATACTAGAACCTGCATCTATTGAATGTGTTTTTATTATAAATATATAATTACTGGATGTTTTTAACAGAAGAATGAGTCTACACAATTTTTTTTTTAAGATTTTATTTATTTGAAAGAGAGAGAGAGAGTGCACTATTGGGGGGGCAGAGGGACAAACAGACTCCCGGCTCAGCAGGGAGCCCCATGCGGGACTCGATCCCAGGACCCTGAGATCATGACCTGACCAACTGAGCCACCCAGGTGCCCCGAGTCTACACAATTTAAGTTAGATTTTCTCATTTAAAGATAACAAAAAGCATAGTTTTTCTTTTTCAAATCTTTGGTTCTTAAAGGTTGTCCATTACTGAATGAAGCTTTTTGCTTTTAATGGAATACTAGACTAAAAACAGTGTTAAAAGCATCAGTGGTCAGATTATATTATTAAAAATGATGAGAAACATTGTAGAATCTCTGAGGCTTTTATCCTAAATTTGTAAGTTCCTCCAAGTAATATTGCTCTTAATGATTTCCTCCAAATCAGCTATCATGGCTGTTGTTTTTTTTTATGCTACAGGTATGGTTGCCTTACTTCTTTTTTTTCATCAGGATAAAGCAGCTATCTCTGTCCTGTAACAAGAAACACACAAGTCCCTGTGGCTTAAAACAACAGGACTTATTTCTCACTCAAGCATTGGTAGGAGGGCTTTGCTCATCACCAATACCTTGGCTTACAGGTTCCTGGTTGCCTTTGCAAACCAACCAAATTAAAGGTTCCTGGTTGCCGTGCGAGAGGGAAACAGTTCCGGAGGGCTTTGGACCAGCAAGTAGAATGATCTGGCCTTGAAGCGAGTTACATTTACTTACAACTAATTGGTCAATAGAAACTTCATGGCCCCACTTGACCCCAAAGAGTCTAGGTTGAACAACCCTACCAAGAGACTGGAAAACACACAGAGAGCTGGAAATATTTGGTGAATAGCATTAGTGATAACTGTGTTTTTTGTGGATCTACATACCTAAAGGCCAGGGGCATTTAATGAAATCTGACTGAAAAATTATTTCTAATCACTGCTTTTAGTGTTTTAAATGTGACTATCATTGTCTGAAAACTACCATTTCATGTGTTTGGATTAAAACTATTAGTGTGCCTTTTTCCCTAATATGTTCTTCTAAAAATGACTTTTGGCATTTTTATTACTATCCACCTTAATTGTGACATCACTGAAATATTTGGAAAGCATCAGACAAATGTCTAAAACTTTACTATGGTCCTCAGTATCCTAAGAAGAGGTAACATTTTTAGTGTACTAACATATCTTTGACAACATATATAATTTATATTACACTAAGATGACTTATATGACACATATATATGTGACACTAATATATGATATCAATATATGACACTAAATATATAATCTGTGTTAACATGTACAGTGTATGTTGACATATACAGATGCTAACATCTTGACCTGAGTGGGACTATTTAGCAGTTAACTCTGCTTTTGGGATAAGAAGAAACCTGTTTCACTACAATATTAACATCAGTTAACAAATCATACTCATCATTTCCATAGAGTTGTTTGCTCATGAGGTTAGGGGGTATGTGGGAGTCAGAGTAACTGATCTTTCAGCCATTTACCAAATGTTTGTAAATGCTATGTACCAGCTCTTAGTGGATTCAGGCGAACTGACTACCGCTAGGAAATTATTGCTTAAGTATGCCAAGCTGAAGGCCTTTCTAAAGCCAAGATTCCAAAATATTGCTGCACATTGGGATCATCTGGGATCCTCAAAAAATATGACCCGACTTCCCCCCTGCCTTATCTGACTTTATTGCTATCTGGTATGAGCTGGGAAGTGGGTTTTTTTTTTTTTTTAAATGTTCTCCAGGTGATTCTACTATGTAGCAAAGTTTGGGAACCACTGTCCTTAATGGAAGGGTTGCTTGTATGTTGGAGAAATAGGTGCACAATCATTATTTTTATGGTTAATATATCCTGCCATGTCGGGAGCTTTTCTTTTAACTTCTTAAAAATAACCCAACCAAAATCCAAACAAACAAAACTGAGAAGTTCTGAAAAAATAGCGCAGTGTTCTTTTCCTTCTCTCAGTAACAGGTGACCTATCACAATTAAATCCTAGTTCTAACGTGAAGCCAGTCAGCTAACCAGTATTTATTTATTGAGCAGTCATAGTGTGTACATAGCTTTGTTCTAGTCCTTTGGGACACATATTAAAGGTTAGTTATATATAATGCTGGATACATGAATAGTAAACATAGAGATTTGTAATGTAAATAGACCATGTGATAAAATAAAAGTGTTATACATTTGCAAGAATTAAGAGAATTTGAAGGCATGTTGATAGATTGCAGTGTACTTGATGTTGAGGGCTGTGTTTAGGAATAGGCTCCCTTAGATTTAAAGGATAGGAAGGTATATTTTGGCATTTAGAGACACCTCTGCAAAGATGTAGAGACAGAGTGTGAGGAACAAGGCAAATTTGATTGGAAAGGAAGCATGAAGAAGCAGTATAAAAGCAGGTACTCAAACATTTGCATTTAATTATGAAGGAACTTGGTAAGCCCTAGAGGATGGTGGATAAAGTAGGAGGCTTAGAAAGAGAAATATGAAAATTAGTATTGGTAGCCATGTGTGGGATGACTTGAGTGCAAAGGAGCCCCAGAGTTCTGCCTAGGTTGGAGGATCTGGCAGGGCAGGTAGTAGCTGATTCAGGTTGGGAGATTTGGCAGTGAGGTCAGATAGCATGGATGCACCCCAGTGATTTAGCAGATGAAGTAGTAGTCACATTTAGCAATTGGTCGTATGTACAGGATCAGAGTTCTGCAAGGAATTTCACCTTCAGATTTTAGTTTGGAAAACAAAGGATATCAGGGAAACTTCAGGGTCCATGGCAGACTTGTTGCAGATTCCTGGGCTCAGTCAGCTCTGTTAAATCGTAATCAGTGGTAGCTGGGCCTCTGCTGTAGACAATGTGAGTTCCAATAAGAATAGTCAAGGGGAGACAGGGATTTTCCCTTCTTCTGCTTTTAGGAGGTAGAAGAAGCCATGATGGTTTCCTGAGAGAGTAGAGTTTCTGAGGGCCCTGGGTCATGGATCCATGTAGCTTTGGGGATTATGAGTGTGAATCTAGCAGATGCAGGGTGGAACCTCCATCCTAAAAAATGCAGTTGAGAGAAGAAATAAGAAAATGGCTCCAGGTGGCCAAGTCTCAGTCAGAAGCCAAGGGCATTTCAGATTTCCAGCACATTGTAGGTGGATCCAAGGCAAATTCTGAAGTGTTCATGGGGTCTGTTGTTCACTGATCCTGTGCTTCACCCCCAGCCCCTTTACCTGCTATTCCATGTGATGCCTAGTTTCTGGTGCCCTGTAGTAGTTTGTTCCTTTGTGGGAAAACAC